GACATTGCTTACACACCATTAGTTTCTCTATGTATTAGTTTTATACAAAAGAAAGAAGGCACCGAGTACATCGGTGGCATACAGGCAGTATAAAAGTATGCAAGAAAATGCTACATACTGTATATCTCATACTTTTTAAAAATGCAGTGAATGTGTGCTATCTCTACACAATATAATGCTTCACAAATCCAATTCCTTATATCCCAGTGAAAGAATGAATTAAAATGTGAAACACATTTTAAAAATCTTGCTGATAACAGCTCGATTCAATGTTTGTACTCACTAAGATCAGTTATTAGCTTATAGTCACCAGAAAGCAAGTTCAAAATTACTGAAGATCAAGGGAACTATAATCTATAACTATACTTTTGGGACAGAGCCAGCAGCCATTACTGATGACAGATGTCCTGCTAAGAATGGAGAGGAGGCTCAGTTTTACCACTGTTATTCATGTTAATAGTGCCTTTCTCTGAGTCATCCCAGAGAAAGAGATGGAACTGCTTACAGGGAAAGCTACTACACAACATGAAAGATGTGTGGTTAAACCAGGACCCGAGTAAAAGGCAGTAGGTTCAGGTCCATAGTCATTATATCAGCACTTCAGATTGTGTAACAGTGATATAGCTTGCTCATAGAGCATTTAGTTTTACATTGTTAAATGATCTTATATAAAAATAGGTAAGAAAGCTCTGTAAGAAAGTATATATACTATATAAGGAGAAATCTCTCCTTAAAAAAAAGCAAAGAAAGGGAAAAATTGAATAAAAGGTTTCACTAATTACACTTTGTCACGCAAATCACATTAAAAACAGTTATCGTAAATGAAACAGTACTGAGCACTAATGAACCTTGTGGTTTACTGGAAAGGACAGCAAACTAGCTGTACAGTAAAAAAAGATCATTGCTCTATCTCCTTTTTTGTAAATATTTCCTAATATATTCAACTGCTTAGAAATTTCTTAAAATGTCATAATAAGCCATTTTAAAAATTTACTATCAAAACTTGTTTAAAGCCCTGCTTGCTCCTTGCTTGCACTATGGCCTAGAGATTACATCTCAAAACTATGATAATGCTTCGGGTTAATTCTGTGAACTCACTCAACTCATGCTTGGGAAATGAACCAAAATTTTTAAAGCAATCTACTTTGGACCCTCAGCATGCAGTGAATGCCCACATGATTTGCAAAACAGCAAAAAAACCCTAACTTGATAGGTCAAGACTCCTGTCCTCAGATATATGAGAAAACAAGGATGACATTAATTACATCCCTGAATGTCCGTGAGGTATTCTATTCCTTCAGTGGTACGGTATTACTGCTTCTGCTCTCCTGAGTGGGGTCCTCAGAAACAAGCAGCTTTTGTAGGCTTTATGCCAGCTCAACCAGTAGATGCTTCCAAGGAAGTCAATGAGTTCTTCTTTCTATTAGGCTAGCCTTGCCCATTTTCTGGGCATAGCTGTTTACTGGTCTTCAGCCCTACAGGAGCAATACTACCCACTTTCCTGACTCCTGCACATTCCTCTGCATAAAAGATCTTATTTCTATATTATACCAGTATAAGCCTGCACAGCAAAACATAATCCAGCACATATCAGACCAATTTCTTAATTCAGTCACACCACATTACATATGAACTAAGCTTGCTAGCATTAAGATAATTGTGACGTATGCAGGTAGGCATAATATAAGCAGATATGTTGGGTGCATAAGATTTCTGCATAGTCTGCATAAAGGAAGAAACCCTGCTTGAACTTAAGGGGGGGAAGTGATAAGTTCTTAAGGCTGAACTAATCCATGTCACTGTAGGCCAGCTGGTACTCACCCTAGGCAAATAAAACACCATCTACCCTGCTTACATCTGTAAAATACACTAGGTTAGAAGCCATGTAACGCCCACACAGACCAGTGCTGCTTTGAATGTATAAATTCCCACAATTCACATGTCACGGTGTCTCTGAATAGGGCCCTCTGAGGGCCACATGGCTCCAAGAGTGGTATCTGAGTTGCTGTCGCTGCCGCTGTATGAAGACATCTTTTATTTTAATGTTCTTGCTCCCAGATGACATTTCTTCATCAGGTGTTGATTCACTGACAAGCACACACTCCTGTGACTTTCCCCTCAAAAACTACCATCAGAACAAAGTAGTCTGAAATCCCGCTGTGATACGTTACAAAAGCTGGCAGTTGAGTTAAATAGACCAAAAATACAGTACATTCTTGATGGCTCGTTCTAGCAATAAACTTTGCTGAATGTTCCAGTTAAAAGCATCGAGATGCTTGGAGGTTGTTTTAAGATTTTTAATATTAAGTTTTAAAAATATTTCATAAACTGAGGAAAAAAAGAAACAAAAATAAGAGATAATGATTAAATAACAGATTTGTGACGGTACCCAGATATTTGGTTTTTTACCTCCATTGATAATTGAGATCATATTTGATTGTGTTGCAGGTGACATGCTGTACCACTGCTCTAACCTACTGACCCTGTTGCACTTCACACTTTCAGGGTCAGGTCTCCTCTCCTGTTGATGCCCATTACATAAACATTAATGGCAGGCAGGCATGCACATCAGCGGGGGAATTAAATGGATGTTTAGCTGTTACTGAGAATTCAACTTCAGGAGAAAGTCAGTATGCCATACAAGTGACAAGCCATAATTTTAAAGACAGCTTTAAACAGGACAGCTTTTTTTCCACCAGAAAAGTGTGATGAATAAGGAAAGGGCTCAATACAACTCTCAGGCAAATGAAAGGGCATTCTGCTGTTAGTTTCTAGTTGGAACAGCTCAGGCCAAAATGCTTCCCCTTAAGCCTCATTCTCTGATTTTACTACAGGCTTTTTGTTAGAACTTGTATGTGTAAGAGCTATCTGTATTAAATTCCTTCATTAAGATGTCTCCTTCAAAGAAAAATGTCGCCTTCTGCTTCACTATGTTAAAAATGATGGTTTGCATTTCAGAAATCCTAGAGAGTTGGACAGGTCACATAAATTTTTGCACCAGTACCTTACTGTAAGAGGTGCAGAGTGCCCTTGACTTCTGAGGTCCAGTGACTGCCAGAGACAGCTTTTCAGGGTGCTGGGGAGTTTGCAGGAGCAAGTCGTTAAGGAGAAAAGAGAACAAATCAATAACACAAACACAAGTTTTAGACAATAAAAAAAAAATTGCTCCAAAAGTGTGAAAAATGGGAAGGTACTGATCCTGGCACTGCATCTGCCATCAGGAATGGTTGCAAAAACTTACAGGTGAAAATATTTCCTACAGTGAATGTCATACAATCTGTTTTCAGCTTAAGTTTTCTCTTAATTGATAAATAATGTTCAGCTTCAGTAAGAACACATACATTCATTCCAAAGGCTCACCGTATTTTGAAATCTAGTTACTAATGAGGCTAGAGGATTTTAATCGTATTTAGAAATTATGTCTTATTTCTCCAGTAGCAGCACTTACACCTTGCCTAACTTCTGCCTTTGCAGTCAGACCTCACAGTATGGTTACAAAGTGGATGTCTTAAGTCCTGAGCATGAGGCAAGCGCCATGGGGACCAAGCTTTGAATCTTACCAGTACTGTCCTCCTTCCCTGTGCCACCTGGCTGAGCTGGGACAGCAGCATGGCTCTGCTCACTCCTTGCCTCCATGTGTGTGGGAAGACAGCGATGTCCTGCAGCCGCTGTACAACCTCCCATCCTTCTGCGCAGTGATTTCATACTGCCCTTCACAATCTTGCCCTTACCACAGAAAGGAACTAACCAACTTTTTAATATTTATAATACTTTAAGAAGACCTATGTGAAATGTTCTAACCATTAAACCAAACAGATCACGTGCACAAAGGATGCAAAATTTTCAAGAATGGAATCTGTAAGAACGTCACTGTTCTATAATTATTTAAGGCTACACTGACAGGAAACAGATTCAATTCAAGAACTGTAACCTCTACATAGTATATCGGCTCACAGAAAAGTAATGAATTTGATGAACTCTTCCAAGTACTTATTGTACTTTTGAACAAAGGTAAAGAACAAAAAGCTATGAAAAAAAAAAGCACAGACAACTCTAAGGAAAACACGAATGCCTCTAATTTGTTTCTGATACTTTGTTCTTTAGAAACCCTGTTCCATGCTTAAGACCTAACTGAATGCACAAAAGCACACTCTATGTATAAGCTCTTATGCAGGATTTTAGAAAAACAATATCTAATGGCAGGTTTCAGATACAAAAGTATAGATTTGCATAAAGCAATAAGAAAAACAAAATTACAAACAAATCATAAGAATGGAATCTAGGAAATAAAAACAACATGAGAGCTACTGATATTATAACTAATTAATAAAAATCCCAGGGCAAATCCAATTATCAGTGTGACTGGTTTTGCATGGCAAATCCATATTCTACTGCCTCAAAATTAAACATTTACTTCCACTCTTTATACATTCAGTTCCCAGCCTTTGTACAGTATAAATCCAAGCCAAACCGCCTCCTGTGAAGCACAGACTGGACCTGGATATCTTGGGAAAAGACACATGATCTAGAAAGAGATTCCTCTTCCTAAATGTGCCCAATGCAGGCTACTATAAATCTCTGCTGCGTTTAAATTAAGATTTCACTGTCTTAGGAATCCAAATGGTTAGATGTAAAGCTGAAGCAATGCAACCTACAAACAGAAACCCAAGTCATAACACAGTTTAGTTTAGCTTGGTTCTGTCAGCGGTTATTTGTGGCACCTTCCAAACTGACTTCTTTTGTTCAATGGTGATGTTAAGTATATTCTCCACTGGAATTATTTTGCTCAGTTCTTGCTGTTAAATACTGTGCATTATTTTACAAAGCAAGACTCATACAAAGAGACAACCATCAAGAGATAACTTTCAGCTTTAGGAAAGAGCATCTAAATATCCACAAACAGAATGAATAAAAACATTTCCATATACACTGAAAACCTGCTTTTGAACAGCCTCTAAGTCAGTGTTTCTATTATATGGAAAGCTAAAAGAATTGGGAAAATCTGAGCATTTGCCTTATGTATATAAAATTAATGTTGATTTTTTTATTAAATTCTACACTCAACATTACATTTCACAGACTGAGCAACAAAAAGGACTGGAAAAGATAACTTGTATTGTATTACTCCAAGACCATTCCTGTTTAAAGAAAGTTTTTGCATTATACGTATTTAGTAAATAAAGCTTCTGTAAATGAAGCAGCAGCATAATACCAGGAAAAAAAAAAAGTCGGTAATAATGTTTTAAATCTTTATATCGACAAAAACTGAAAGCCAAGCTCTGCAAATAAACCCCTCAAAAGGCACCAAATAAACCAAGAAATAGAATTACAGTATCCTTTAAAAATGACTTAATGAAATTGTTAAGTAGTGTGAGAATTTGAGAACCATGTGAAATATCTTTATTATATCATATTCACTGTCTCCAACCTCACTGTACTTGACTGTCTGTATGCTAAAGCCAGGATTGTTCAAAGGTATTATAAAAAAAATCAAGAGAAAAACATTTGTCCAAATGAGAACACTCTAGGCCACCACTAATTCTCTCAACAAATTCCAAAACTTCAGTCTTCTACCCACCAGTCAATGAAGTCCCATATTAGTAAGACACCACCATCATTTACAAAAAAATCACTTGCATTCCATATAGTGATAATTAAAAGTAAATGAAACTTATAATTACAGGCAAAAAGAATATTTCAATTGGGAAGCTTTTAAAAAATATCTTTACTCAATAATCCACAATTTCAGTAATACGAATCAGATTCAGCAGTCAGTAAATTAGTGTGATTCTGGTTAAAGTATCTGGGACAAATAGGAATCTCAGAAGCACTGATATTTGCCTAATTTCAGTGGAAGCCATGAGTGTTTATCTGATGACAAACTTTCTAGTGATACTGCAGCTTCTCAACTCTGTCATTAGAAAGCTGTATTTCCCAACTCGAACATAAGCAAAGCAAACTTCAATTTTGCATGTGAACATTCACTCAATTGCTGGCAAACCACTAGAAAAATAACTTACTGATGTTCTCTTCTCCAAGAAGAAATGTAAAAACTCCTGGTCTGCTCCCTACTTCCAACGAACAGCATATGGTAGCCCCTAAAACAGCTCGGAAGAGACTCAAATGGATACCTATTTCAACTAAAGCCACAGTATTTTGCATTCATTCAGAGTAGCTCAACTGTTGCCACTTCCTTCACAGTCTTTCAACCTAACTTCCAACTGTTGACATTTTAAAGAAATTCATATTGATTTGTTTAATGAAAATATATTTTAGTAAAGTCGTGCTCTATGAGCTTCCTACATTGGAATACATGAATACAGGAAGTGCTTTCAACAGAAAGTTACACAGTTTTACAGTACAACCTGTCTAAGGAGATTTGGAAGGGACCAAACTAATGATCTGGTCTCTTTGGATTAGGCAGAAGTACAGGCAAGAAGGAAAAACCCAATTTATGCCATATATAGAGCTCGTTCCTGTCACAGATTGAAGAAACATTAGTTTGATGTCAAAGTTCACCTGATGCCCAAATGCTAATATTTTTCAAACCAACTGCATATCAAAAAATGAAAACTTACTTGCACTAAATTTCTGGAAAGAAACTCAATGTAAAACAATATATTCATATTTGCTGTATCACTAAGTGTTCTCCACTGGTGGGGTTTTTTCTTTTCTTTTGCTGTACAGATCATTAACTTTTCTGAAAGTGCAAATTATTGACCTTTAATCTGAATGCAGGTGGGTCAGAAGCTACAGTATTAGAGCAATCCAAAAAGTACACAAGGAGGAGCTTACATTGATTTGGAGAACCTTACATAAAATGTTTCTGAATTGAAAACCACAAAATGAACTCAAACAAATACAGCATCAGGTGGATGGGGGAGGGAGTGCTAACGTATCTGTGTACAGCAAGGCTTCTCTGACACTGAGGAAGTGTCTGACACTAAGCGAAGATTATATATTAAATCCCACCATTTTGCATGTTGTGCATTCTTTACGATGGAATGTTGACCTCAGTTTTCATTTTTTACTTCCGCAACAAATCTGTTGATTTTGATGGGGGATGATCATCTTCTTGAGAGACCAAACTCCCTTAAAACCACAACTGCACTTTGTATTGTCCATTATGATTCTAGTAAAGTATGCCATCTACATACTTGCTGTCCTTTAGATTCTTTCATTTCAGTCCAGTGATTGAGTTCATCTTCTCCTGAACTGTTGAGACCTAAGGAAATCCACCCTATCATCTCTTTTCGTTTCATGCTGCGCTTATTATATACAGACAGTATGAGTGTCACATCTGAAAGCTGAAACAGTGCCACTTGGAAAACGAAGGTTTCTTTGTATACTGGATTTGGCTGTCCTCGGCGGATCGAAGTTTTGCATTTGGACATCTCTTGCCCCATCGAGTTCAGCAGTGTTAACTTAACATATGTATCTACAAAATAAATCATATTTTGCAATGTCAGATATCTTAGAACAGAAGTTTTAGAGAATGAGATATTTAGAAAGTACAAGGATATGGCGTATACCAGGCTGACTGAACACAGCTTAGTTTGGAAACATGGAAAGATGACAAGTAAGCAAAATATTACAAACACACTACACATTAACTAGTTTCAGTACTATGTAAATGGATTAAGTTAAAGGTATACCTCATAATCCTCTTCCCGTCATCCCCCCTTAATTGTTCGAAACAAACTTTAATTGCATTAACACTTAACAAGCTCCAACTAGCCACAACACTGTAAAGCATACCGCTGAATTTTCAGAGAATAAGAATAAACAAAGTGGAATGAAGGCAACTAATGAAGAAAAAAAAAAAAAAAAAGAATAAAGTTGATATGCAGTGATGGTATCAAAACAGCCAGGATGAAATGCTTATGAATAATCTCTGCATGGATGTGGTTCTCACTTTGGGCTTTTCAATTTTATTTATTTCAAAGACCAAAATGTAGCAAAGTGCATTCAAAGGTGGAAGTTTACACAATATAAAACCCCTCTTAATGCCTAGATTCATGAAAGAATACATTTAACACACCTTTAAAGACAAATAAGTTTTTGCATAATTCAAGATGGTTGTTTAAACCATAGCTTCTATAGTGCTCTTAGGAAGCTCATTTAAGAAGCTGATGCAAGTAAATGAGGTTAGCACACACTGGGCGTTAGTATTTGGGTGCAAACCCTTATTCTTAAAGCTCTGTTTTCATTTGACTAGAAGCACCAAGTGATACTCCTGCAGAAGGATGTACATTTCATTAACTGATTTTAAGAAATATAAAGCTATATAAAACAATCTGGCGTTTCATTCTTTATTCCTGTTATATTCATGTTAATTTATAATACTATTAACATATTGGAATTTATATAAAAAAAAGACATTGAATATTCACTTTGCAGGTACACTGAAATCCCAACATCCATAATCAGAGATAAATGCAACTTTTGCATTAGAGTGCCACAAATAATAAATATGTACTTTTATAAACCAGTATGGTAGGCAGCCGTGGATAGCTTTACTGCTGGCAAGTTTTCTTTTGCATGAAAAAGACAACATCCAATTAGTTTCTACAGGAACTCACCTCGGATTATATAAACCTGTCCACCTATCAAGTGTTTTAGACAACAGAACAGTCCGTCTGACAACAGGGGGTGGAAAGCAGTAAAAGAAATAATGACCAGATGTCAATAGTTGGGTGAGAGAGGATCAGAGGTTAAAGTTTAAGAGGAAGCACTATTCACTGGAGTGGAAGAACACAAAACCTTAGCAGCACAGATCAGAAAAAGGATTGAACAGAAGGATTGTTGGGTAAAATTTAATGAAATGAAAATTTTGTGCAGTTTTTGTGTAATCTTTAATAAAAATTACACCACCTATATAATGGATTATCTTAGCACTTATAGCTACTGGGTTTTAAAGCACACTCAACATAGAAAGAATCATGCAAACGATTAGGTTATAGAAGACTGGGTAAAAATCACTGTATCCTTTTTACCAAACCTTACGCTTTTTCATGCAAACTCCAGCATATTAAGAAAAACTGCACACGGTAATTATAGTTCATATATTAAAAGCAATAAAATGAAAAATTACTGAACTAAAAACCAAGATGGTTTTGCCCTTAGCTTTAATAGTTACAGATATTTGACTGTAGTACTTTACTTCTTGCGTAGTGATGGACATGGGCGCAAGAATGACTGATCTAATCTCTAAAAATAGCTGAAATGCTTACATCTGAAATTCAGCTATGTCTCTCTAATTAAAATGTAGAGATCTCACTTGTTAAAATCCATGTATTTATGGATTTAATGCGTGTGTGCATGCATACACACACATGCATTTAATGTGCAAAAGCTTGTACCCAGTTTCAACAAAATTTTAAAGAATACTAAGAAGCATCTTTTTCTTAGACAAAATATTAACTGTCATACAGAGAAATGAAGACACATTCTAACATTAACTGTTATTGCCTGAAGGATTTGGCTTATCTGCCTGTACTCTGTTGCTAAATGAGTTACTATGTAACATATAAATATGTTATAGGAGAGGACGCTATACTACTAAGAGGCAGAAATGTAGGACTCAATCCATATTTGTTGCAGGAGTATTTCACAAAAATTGCATAGGTTCACAACCCCTAGACTACAGAAAGGATCACGTGGGAAAGAGTAATTGCTTCCATTTCTATCTTAGCTTCTCAAGACCTGAATGAAAACTGACCTGTGCATGTATTTTGCAGCACTTCTCAAGACTCTGGACCACTAATGGTCCAAACAACAAATCTGATCAGAGCATTTCATCATCATCTCTATGGGCTTTAGTTTCCATTTTGTGGAAACAGAGAGGGGCTGGTATGTGTCCACGATGTACCTGACAGGGAGTTCCGAGATGGCAGTGTTATTCACCTGGGTTCAGGAATTTACAAGAAGGTGCAGCCACTGCTGAGGAGGAGGGGAAGGGGGTGACACAAAACAGCCCACAGGAGAAATTCGGATTCGACAACATTCTGTGCACGGTCTTACTGGACCCAGAAAGTGCCTTAGTTTCCAGCTTTCTAGAAACAACAGAACTCCAAGCCCACATTTTCCTAAACAGAACTGGACTGTTATTATTATGAATATCAAAACTTCCTCCTATCCTTCACGGGGGATGACAAAAGGTAACACACAAGATATTCCCTCCAAAAAGGTTAGGCAAAACATGGTATTGCAGGGTTATGTGCCATGTTCTATGTTGCTTTCTTGCAATCTGAAACGGATTTTTGACCCCAGTGACACACACAGCTGTTAGCTAGACATCATGGGCTCACAGACCACATTTTGGGAATCAATATACCAGGGAATGAACATATCTGTCTTCAAAACAAGTACTGAACCTCCATCTAACTTTCATATTCTAAATATTAAGAAAAACTTGGCCTTCTCCAGAGATTCCAGAAGGATAAGAATAAGCCACCTACTGTTCTTGCTTTCAGGGAACACATGATCCCTTCTCTCCAGATCTCTCCCATTCATTCCTTCCCCCCATATTCCAGTGTCCTTGGGCCTTCTTGGCTTTCCCATCTATTTCTACGGTTTGTCTCCCAATAGGTGACTCTGAGCAGCTACCTAATTATATAAAAGTATTAGAGATTCTTCTTTCATCTTCATTCTCTGGTCATGTTAACAAAGTCTGACTCCATTGGTGTGAAAAGTACAGAGAAAGCAAAGCAGAATAAGGATGAGCCAAATGCAATTAATGAATAAAATAAAACATGGGTCAAGAAAGAAAGAGGAGCCCATCAGTCTCAATTTGTTTGGCTTCCTGAACTCTGAAGACAATGTGAGACGTGCAAACCACTTATAAAATGTTGACAGCCTGATACATAATCTAGTAGTGCCAGATAATCTGCTAGTGCCATACAAATCTGGGGATTAAGAAACAGAAAGAAGGACTAAAACCTAAAACTCCAGACAAAATCAAGAGGAACAGACAGGTATGTCTAACTACAACTTACGTAAATCAGACTCATCATCTGAAAAAACAACAAAATATTTTAAAAGTTCATTTCTGAACTTTGTCAAGCTATAGCAAATAATTAGAGACAGTAAAAATATTCTGTGTGTGTGACATTCCATCTGGCTCCAATGTAGAAGTATATAAAGTACACAGATATTTGGGACAAATCTATTTTTGAACAAACGCTTGAACACACAGTTCAAGTCCTTTCTGATGGTGAACATTCCTTCTGCACAGTAAATATGTCAAAGTTCTCAATTTGTTTCTCCATTGTCTTCACTGACATTCCCAAGTTACATATAATATATTACTACCACATATACACAGGCACATAACCAATTAAAGACTGCAGTATCAACCTCTCTAGGAAGAGCAATAACTGTTTAGAGTGTTTATATTAATATTAGCTGGCATGTACTTTCTCTTTGAACACTTAACTTTTTATTCTTGGCCTGTGATGTGAGGCACTAGTAATTTAGCCATTAATCATTATGATAAAGGTAATTTATTAGTCAGTCATCATGAAAAATTAAATCAGTCCTGTCAACTTACAATTAATATTTTGAATTTTAGATTTTTGCTATTTCCCAACTGACTAGAAATATAAAACATGAAACAGATTAGTTGATGATTGCTCTATTTCATTTTGATTGGGTAAGACTAAATGATAGGATTGAAGTCCTTGCTACCAAGAGCCCCACCAGTACAGAAGCATTAGGATGAAAAAAGATTTTCACTCACTGGGTGGTCTGTTCGCTGCCAAGTTTTTGAAGTGGCTGCCTTTTATCACTTCTGCTGATAATCTTCCAGTTGTTGCGTTATAAAGGAGGCCAACGAGGATTTCTGGAGCTGAGCCATGTACCAGAGACTGACAAGAGGAGGTACTTTCACTGCAAGACACTTCTGACATGCTCATTTGAGAGTCACAACCCTATAAAACAGATAACATTTTCTGTGTATTCTATGGAATGATGTTACTGGGAAGTCAATTTTCAGAATAATGCATAGAAAAATAGGAAAGCAACTTACTGACAATAACAGAAGTTCCATTCGATCACCCAATAAGAAATCTACATCCTTAATATATTCCCAGTTCACACATGTTAGATGTAACAAAGACTAAAGCGATCTGGAATTAAAATAATTCTTAATTTTGTGTTTCTGTTGCTTCATAACTCAGGAGAAATAATAGCAGAAGATGAAGAGCAGACTTTATGGTCCCCATTTACTTCAATTGCTAAAATAATCTGTCAGCATCCCAGAGAACATTAAACCTTGGATCTTTTACTTTCCAAAACTGGAAAACAGTAGTGGAACTCTGAAGATAATAAAATGCAGGAAATTCTTATTCATCCTTCGTAAAGGTTATTCTCTAGACTGAGAATTTATGAGTAGCAAAATAACAGAACACATGCAAATAGAAAAATGCACTCTGTATAGAATAAATTAGTTTACAAGGAATTTAACTGATCCAGGGATACAGAATTGCAATAGACCCTTTGTCTTGGGTGGGAAAGGGAGAATGCCATCCTAAAGCTCACCAAGTGATGCTTTAATTTCCACCTGCAAGCTTCCAAAAAAAATTCAGATCTCTCATGAATCCACACTACATCACATCTTTGACAGGAGCTTCTAATATTCATTTTCATCATTTCAACCCCTCATTATTGGCCTTAAAAAAAAAAAGAAAAAAAAGACTGTACTTTCTTTATGCTGCCATGCTAATCATACCGTAGTAGTTCCTACTTTCTTGCTTTCGTGCACTGGCACATAGAGTTGTAGCACTGAAAACAAGAAACTAGATGGAATCTAGCCAATGGCATGGCAATTTGTTTGGTAGCCGAGAAGAGACTTTTGAATTATCAGTACATCCCTTTATGAGTCTCTCAGAAAAAGCGTAAATTGGATCCACAGATTTGTCAAATACGGCTTGACTCATTTGGGAATCTGGCAGCACTCTTTCAAGGAGACATCAAGATTTTGTGAAGCTGATTCTTCCAGATTCCAAATGTCTCTATCATTTCCAGCAACAGCTGACATGGGTGCAAGATCAGTCCTAAAACCTAAATAGTACAAATCCTCATCAAGATAAAATTAACTCTAAAAGCAAGTAACTTAATCTGACATATAAAGCCCAAATGCATTTTAGAATCTCACATTATAGAAGACATGATGCCTACCAGAAGAAATTATGAACCTATAACAATATCCTTCATATGAACATTTTAACTCGTTCTTCTCAATAGAACATTTCCAAGAAGTCTGGCAGAAGTTTCAAGCAGCAATCCAGTTCCTCATTAATAAACATTCACTGTTGTTAGCAAATGTATTCTTACTACTAAAGAAGGACCTCAACAAAATTGCCTGATTTCCATCCCCCAAGCTGAAAATTCTGAATTTTAAATCTTTGGTTATTTCTCTAAAAGTTCTTTATTCAATTCCAAGAATAAATTTCAAATGGTTTGCAAATTGTAAATTGATGAAAATGAATTACAAGTATACATTCATTCTCTGATTCTTGGCACTCACTAAACAGGAAACTTTTGATTCCTAACTTCGACAGTAGAATACAAAATGGAAAATAAAAAGAAAGATGACTTGATTCAGCAGTCAAAGTATACACTGCACACTTGAAAGCTTCAGCCCGTCACAACTGCAGCTATTACTTATGTTTTCCGATCTTTTAAAATTGTAACACATTACCTCTATGGTGCTTATTCTTCTTATTATTTTGTTGGGCCAGGAATTTAACCACAGTCAACCTGCCACTGTTCAAAGCCTCAAATTTTATTCTGATCATGCTGCAAGTCCACAGAAAAAGACACAACACAAAGCAAGCAGCTGGGTAACACTCCCCCCCAAACCCTCAAAGGGCTCTGACATCTGTACCAAGAGAAGCTGATGATAGCACTTCTTTCCTAATTGTGACTTATTTGTACAGTTTACTGATGTTCTAATAGGGACTCAGTCTAAATCAGTTTATAATAGTTAAACTGATTACACAATGGGTATCAGAATAATGTTTAAAATGTTAGAAAAAGCATATAGTAAATGAGTGATGACTGAATGGGAATAAGTCCTGAAGTACCTTGAAAGGGAAGACAAGTAGCTTCTGTGTGATGTAACAGAGAAGGGGGAAAACAACTGAAATAAGTGTGATATTACAAAATTACATAAGGATGGGATAGAAATGTCATTCATCTACAGTAGAATCCTGAGCTGATGTAAGAAGGACAAGACTGTGTTTGTCAAGGCCAGAGAAAAGGATCTCACCAGCTGAATGGTGGGATGAGAAGACCTCAGTGATGCTTCAGATCTGTAAGTGGATGGAAATGCAACAAAGTGCCTGTACCTTAGAACTGTTGCACAGGACGAATTGGTAGATGTAGCCTTGATGAAAATCTCGTAAGAGGGTCTAACTTAAATGTTTAGCTAAAATATTTTCTAAACCAAAATATTTTGCCTTTTGTTTTGAGAGAGGTGGCAGGTTTGAAATAAACAAAACCATGTTGTTTAATCCTTAGTATATAATAACCGTATGAATCTCCTTCCTGCAAAATGCTCTGGTGACAGAAAAGACATCAAAATAAAGCAACCAAACTCACTGAAGAAACAATCTAAACAATATTTTGTTTTCCATTTCACATAAAAAAAGACTCCAACCCATTTTGTTTCTTTCTGACTCAAATGTATTTTAGAAAATACTCTGCTTTTCGGTTAGGAACTGGAAAATTCTAATATAAAAGAAGTCAGACATTAAGAAAAATGAAGCAGTGAGGTGTAAGTCGGATTAGAAGACAGACTGATGATACTGGGTAAAAATATGGTTAAACTACATGAGCCAAAGTATAATTTCTGTGTCTATGATAAGGGAGAAAACAGAGAATTTGGGGGCAAGTAGGTAAAAAACATGAGAAAAAGGGGAAGGTGAGGTTGTATTTTGTCAATTTTCTTTTGATAGAAAACAGAAAGATCCTATAAGGAAGAGAAGAAGAAATAAGAATCAGGTAAGTTAAAGAGATAGCTGAGATCAACAGGGCTCAGATCAACGACTGAAGAAAGACTTTTCATTGCAGGACAAAGTTAAAATCAGGGATACTGAGTATTATTAGATGGCTCCTCAGAAGTATTTTCTCCAGCACAGAGTTTATTGTTCACACTGTGGAAATCCATTCTTTGTTTTAAGTAAGGTGTTCTGTGATAATCATATCTGTTGGTAAGTAACCTGACTGTGTTAAGTCCGTAAGCTGCACTAGAATTGAAAATAAGTTTTTCAATTATTTGTTTAGAGGTTTTTTTCTGTTCACATAGTCAAATTTCAAGAAGCATGCTAACAAACTCATCAAGAAAAAAACAAGACAAGAAGTTACATTTTTACCTGCTCAAAATACAAGCTTCATGATCTCCTGCCAAATTGTAAAATATACAAATTGTAAAATAAACACTGAAATTGCTAATTGGTACAACATGAATATAAACTTAGCTACAACGAAGCTTTCATCTCATGACAACATTACAGTGCTACCGGATGCTTTGAAGCTTCATACAGATCTGCATTCAATCTATCTGTAGGCCACTTAGATACTGTAGCTTCACTGTGGGAAAGATAATATATAGATCAAAAATTACTATTTGTTTGAAATAATCTGTCTATGTAAGTTTATTTTTATAACTCTTCCATCTCTTCCTCTATGAACACTATGTATTTTAATAAGCAGGGAAAAAAAGGACTAAGGTTCCATAATAGCCTAGTAAGAACTGCTCTAAAATTGTAAGTGCAGATTTTTATGAACTTAGATCAACAGTCAAGGTATTGGTGATCTGGCTACAGTGCAAGGAGCTGTCTCTTGAGGTTGTCTCCAGGATACTAATGCTAAATCTCTATCCTACTGTTGCCAATTTAGCCATAACAAAAATAGATTATTAACAGTAAACACAAGAAAAAAACCATTAGGTAAAGTCTATTCCAAATACTTGTTTCAGAGGTCTGTCTTACTACAGTAAATGACAGGTTTTCAGCTTTTCAATTTTATAACAGAGCGCTTTGTACAAAGGACCTAAACCTTTCCCATATACGTCACAGCATAGTACTTTATTACAAAGTTAGGCAGATTTTTATTTGATCAACACAAAAATTGCTGATTTTCACTGGATAACAAAAGTAACAGGTGCTATATTCTACAGAAACTTATTTATAATTGTCCAAACTATTGTTCTTAATGACTTTTTTGCATATTTTATCTAGGGACGAAACGTCACTTTTCAATAAAAACATTTCCATTAAGTGGTATTTGTATTTCACATGTTGCTATTGTACAGAAGTTAGCAATCAAAAAAATCTTTTTTCCCTAGTGTCAATGGAAGTAAACACATACAATGCATATCAGACCTGAACCCCTAAGAAGTATTTTCACTAATATTTTCCTCTGCTCTCTTATAACATAGAGAATCCTCTATTTGCAACAATGATAACATATGTAAAATGTATATATTTGTCTTCCTTCACCATAATTCCATGGAAACAGGATATTTGTTACTTACATATTCATCTCCTACTGTTATTTTTCTATACCCTTAAGTTCTGCTTATAAATTCTGCTCTTCAGCCAACTGGAGTTAATCACAGGGAATAATGTGGCCATGCTCTGAGGGCAGTACAAAAGTACATTTTCCTCAATGCACAGGTTAAAATCACGTGTCTGCAGGCTTACGAAACAAGAACATCTGATTCTCTTGGCTTTTCAAAATATACACAAGAAAGATGAAACCTTGCTGACAATCCTGCAGCAACAAAAATCTGATTCACAGCATGTTACTTGTCAAAATGCCTCTCTCAAATTTTAAATGTTAATGTTATACCACTAATCTCTTAAAGAACTTTTTTTGCACATTACTTTCTTCTACATCTATCTCAACTGAGGGGTTAGGGAAA